TCATTGACTTAGCGGAGACAGTTCCTTTAGAATGGGCTATAGGTAAAAGTGATAATGGTTGTATGACACATGACTTGTTTTATGAATACATAGGCCATATATTTTTACCATGGGTAAAGAAAGAGAAAAGTTCTCTTTCCATTATTTTTTTATGGATGTCCGAACTGTTAATTGTAAAAATCCATATTGCAGTTATATGAAATTATTTTAAAACAAGAAGTGTCACAAAAATTTGAATAGATGATTCACTATTGTTATTAAATGGATGACATTTATGACTTTTAAAATTTTGACCATGTAACAATCGTTACGAATCGAATTCTATTATCTTTTTTTATTTTTCTGTTTGTTTTATATATTTTACACATATATTCTTTTAATTTTTTCTTTTCATATAGTGTGTATATTTTGTTATTAATTTTTCATGAAGTTTTTAATCTAAACCTAGAATAAACATATGCTGACTAGAAACTGAGTAGTGAATCAATGTGAAGACCCTTTTTCGTGACGCTACCCGTGACGTCTTCTCGTGGTGCTAGTTCCGTGACACTTGCCTCAGCATTTTACTATAGAGAAAAAAGTAATACAACGGCAATGTAGAAGAATTTGATACTAGACGAAAATACAAATCCCATCCCCATTAAGAGAGGAGTGAGACAAGGAGACGTAATGTCGCCAAAGCTTTTCAACCTAGCCCTAGAAGACATCTTCAAAACTACAAATTAGTCAACCTATGGCATTAACGTTAATGGCAGCAAGTTAAACCACCTCAGATTCGCTGACGACATAGTGATTATAGCGAGCACATTCGAGGAACTGCAAATTATGATGGGGAACTTGCAGGCAGCTCCCAATACGTCGGCTTCAAAAATGAATATGAAAAAAACAAAAATAATGACAAACACCGATGACCCCAGACATATAACTATAAATGGCAGTGAGATAGAACAAATCCAGGAATATATCTACCTAGGCCAAATCCTGAAACTTGACAAAGAGAACCAAAATGCGGAAATTACTAGAAGAGCAAGACTAGCATGGGCAGGATTTGGAAAACTTAGTTGGATACTTAAGAACCGCAAAATACCCCAATATTTGAGGAGCAAAGTGTTCAACCAATGCATCCTTCCTATCATGACATATGGATGTCAAACCTGGACCCTAACCAAGGCAAACATGAATAAACTAGCCACAACAGAAAGAACAATGGAAAGAGGAATGTTAGGTATACGACTGTCAGATAAAAAGAGAAACGACTGGGTAAGATCCAAAACAAAAGTCGAGGACATAACAACAAAAATTGCCAAACTTAAATGGAGCTTCGCGGGCCACACTGCTAGACAAAAAGACCAACGTTGGAATACTACAATACAACATTTGAGACCTTACGAAAGTAAACGACCAAGAGGAAGACCACAGATGAGATGGGTTGATGACATTAAAAGAATAGCCGGCACAAATTGGAAATATGTTGCTCAGGATAGAGACCGATGGAAGGAGTTGGGAGAGGCCTATGTCCAAACATAGAAGATAGAAGGCTAAGAAGAAGAAGAAGATAGAAGCTTCGCTAAAAATCCATTAAATTGAATTAAAAACCATCGCTTCGTGAGTAGACGATAAGAAAGCTATGCTTCCCCTCCTCGGTAACTCCCGGGGTGCCATATCCCGTTTTTATTATTGACTCCTTGACTTTATAGTTCGTTTTTTATTTTGAAAAGAATAATTAACATCGTTACTCTTTTAACATTTTATCGCAGGCAATAAGGCAAAGAGAATGAGTCAAAATTAAAAATCCGTGTAAAATAAATTCATAAACATGTTAAACATATTGATAACAGTTCATAAAATGTTTATTTTATTCATAAGTTTAAATTACACTCAGATGCAAAAAAACCCAACAGAGAAAATTTTGGACAAATTCAAAGTGTTTCAGTTTTTTTTATTTTTAGCCTTATTTTGATGATTTGTTAGCATACTGTGTAAAAATTTATAAATGAGTTTTTTAATACAATTTTGTATTTGACTTATTATACGGGGTTAATCGAAAGGTGGTTTTTTATCCTAACTTTGAAACACCCAGTGGAATAATTCCGTTAGCGCATTTTCGTAAAACCTTGTTTTTCGGTTGCAACCATGTCTTTTAGGTATTATGCTTTTTGTTTCATGTGAAAACATTGATTGGTTCATTTTTAGAAGCGAAATGACTATACCACTCACAATTTACGACTTCTCCTATTATTACCATTATCTTTTGTATAAATTTGTAATAAGACGATGGAGGCTTGGTGACTGATATCGAAGGAATGTCATATCGACATCCCAGAAGCACTGTAGATAAATAGTGATTAAAAGCAACCACATGATCTTGGTTTTAATGAACAATGATAACAATAACAAAACAAAAAAAACAACTTAAATGTAACTCAACCTAAGTATGCAAATAACAAGGAACAACTACTAAAAATGGGTCGATACTTTGTATTGCCTCCCATAGCCTCTATAACTGCCTGTGCACGTCGCGGGTCGGCTCATGCTGTCTATGATGTTGCGAATATCATCTTGCTGGATGTTTTGTCTTCTAGAGCTAAGCGAAGTTCGTTAATTGAGGCTGGTACAACTTCGCGACCTCTAATATTTCTACCAAGCATGTCCCAAACTTGGATAGTGGGTAGGAACTCCTTGGATTTCCTTCTTCTTCTTCTTTCAGTGCCCTGTCCGATTATCGAACGTTGGCGATCATATTGGCAATAATAACCATTCACGGCGGCTCTAAATAAATTAAAGGTGGTTTCTTGATACCATTCTCGGAGATTTCGTAGCCAGGATGTTCTTCGTCGGCCTGGGCCTCTCCTTCCGTCGATCTTACCCTGTATTATGAGGTGTAAAAGGTTATACCTCTCTGGATGTCTCATTACATGACCGAAATATTCTAACTTCCGAATTTTTATCGTTTTTGTTATTTCTGTGCTCTTTTTCATTCGATGTAAAACTATTTCATTTCTTATTCGATCAACCCAACTTATCCGCAATACTTGGATTTCCTTGGACAGTCCTATCAGGGAAAATGAATCAGTCCCTGCCCTCCCCAGATTCCAAGTGGTCCGTGACCCGGGGAACTAGTACCTGTTTAGGATCCCTTGTCCAGGGTTACGGATGAAGATCACAACAGCAATCACGGCGGAGAAGGATACCTTTGGTACGACGAGAATGGTAGAAGTGGCGACCCCGGCTTTTAGGGCTAGTATAAAATCAATTTTGACCGAACGATCGACGGTATAAGCAATTGCACTCACCTTGCCAATGTTCTCTGGATAGAGGGCGGATGAGCATACGTGAGACAGGAACTTTTTGTCCTTCAGGTGGGAAACTTTCTCTAAAAGGCGGATGAACAAAGGATGTCAACGGCATAAGAATACTGAAGGCAATGGGAAACCACCGTATTAAAGGTCCCCAAGAATAATCCAAGAAAGGCAATAATGGAAATAGACAATAGTTCGTGGCAGTCCTTAAGTGGCCAAGGGGTGCTAAGAATCTCCGCGAAGAAAAACAATGCTAGGAACCACTCGAAAGTGGGAAAACCCCAAAGCTAAAACTGGGTACTTGGAACGTTAAAAGTCTTTACACCGCCGGTAAACTAGACAACATAATACAAGAAATGGAACGATGCGACCTAGACATTATAGGACTTAGCGAAATCAGATGGCCTAACAGTAGTAAATGTACTAAAGAAAAAGCGACACTATATTACGCAGGAAATAACCTACCCCATCATTATAACGTTGGATTTCTAGTTAACACAGCCTCAAATAAATCAGTAAGGAACTTCGTGGCATACTCAGAGAGGGCAGCACTACTACAAGTCCAAGCCGATCTTGTTGACCATAACATTATACAAATCTATGCACCAACCTTGGACAAGCCTGAAAATGAAGTAAAAGAATTGTACAGAAAGATTAAGAAATTAATGAAACTGATAAAAATGAGTTAATTAATCGACTGTTAATGACACTTATAATCATGGGAGATTTCAATGCGAAGGTAGGACGAGGACGTGTTGAAAATGTCCTGAGTGACTTTGGTTTGGGAGATCGAAACAAGAGAGGTGATATGCTAATCCAGTTCTGTCAGCAGCAACTTAAACTTATTAGTTCTTAAGATTTTATTTTGCAATTTGTTTAAATTTTGCAATGGGTTGTTTATTTTATTATCTTTTATTTTGTTCTATTGTCGATTTATGTAATTTCAGTAAATTTTAAATTGTTATTGTTATTTTTTAAGCTGTGTTCAAAAAATTATACAATTTTCGGTGACAATAAAGTATATTTCTATTCTAAGATCTTGTACAAAAACAATGAGATTTGCTATCACCTCCCTCATTTGTGCAGACAACACGGTGCCTTCTTGTTTGATTGAAATATTGATTGAAAGTCCATGTTAATGAAGGAGAAGGGATTTTAGGAATTTCAAGCAGAAGAAGAAACAATATGTTTTTCTCGAAAACGATAAGTACAGATAGTACTTGAGTTATCGTGATCAAGTACTCCGGCTAATACACTCATTGGCAGGATCAATCATCGTGGATCATCTTCTTCTTCGTAATCCTAAAAAATCCACCGTTAAATCTAATTACTTTTTGATATTGCCACATTATTGACTTGCTATTCAACAACAATATAATCCAAATCGAAATAGGTTTTATTTAATTTTAAAATAAACCAAGAATTTTTTAGAATATAAACCCATTTGACAAATCTACGCTGAAATTATAATAATGCATGACGGTTGACGGTATTGTATGCGTGACAATCAAATCCGTAACGTAACGACATTCTTTTCTTTTACCACTTTTTAATTTTTATAACGACATAATTCGATACTCATTATAAAATATTCTTTCAGATATTGAGGATGTTACTGGTGAAAGTTTTATTTTGTGCAGTTTTGTGTCAGTGCATGAGTATTACCAGCGTCTAAATTTATAGTAAACATATAAAAACAATATGATGGAACTGGAATCGCAAAAAAAAGTTGAAATCATTTGCAAGAATTTACTATGTGGAGGTAAGTTAATTTATTTAGATATTTAATATATTTTAATTGCTCTAATTGATATTGTTTATAAAAGATGCATGTGCTGTGCACGCACTTTCAAATGGATTTCACTCTGTTTACCAAATTGATAAAAGATTCCTTAATTGTATATAGATATTACGGTCTTTGTAGATAATGTGATTTTCATATTTTGACACAAGTTCTGTACACTTTTGTTTAGTTTCTCTTATACTACACTGTTTTTCAAGTAGGAGGAGTAAATTTATCTCAAAATACAGATTCACACCGAATAATGTCACTAGAAAAATCACCAGATTCATCTTCTTTTTGGTTGACCATCTTTGCCTTCGCAGGTAGTCCAGTAATCCATATAGGACAACTTTACAGATAAAAAACTTAATTTCATTGAAATGAATGGCACTTCATTGAAACACACAGAAGTGTATCTTTGCAAAAAAGGTTGTTTGAAAAAGTTTAAAGTCAGTATTTACTACATCTTTCATTTTGTCGTACTTTATTGTCTTACTTGACAATTTCATATATCTTTGTTTTAACTGTTTGATGTATAAATCCATTAATTCCATCCAGAATTTAATCTGCAGTTTTTACATAAAGAAAAAGGAAGAAAGAAAGTGACAATAACAATAATAAATAAGTAAGTAAATAAGTAAACACTGACACAGAACATATAAAATTAAAACTATTAAATTAAAGTCGAAGGTTACATCCTCGAAGCCAATTTCTCGCCTTGGGAGTAAGTTGGTGGATTTCTTGAACGCTGCCAAAGAACTTGGTGGCTGGACACTCGAAGACGATGTGCTTAATTGTTTGTTCAGCAGCGCTGCATTTGTCACATTCCGGGCTGGCATTTATACCCCATTGATTCAGCGATTTGTTACAAATTCCATGACCAACTCGTATTCTATTTAGGTTGCACCATTCACGACGGGGAAGAGAAAAGCCGTCTGGTTTGATTGTGGCTTTTTTTTCTATCAGATTGGAATTTCTGATGTCTGGATTCCATTTGCCCATCCAGTGCTCTTCGGTAGTGAAAAGAGCCAATTTTGTAGGAGTTCTAGTAGGTGGATGTCTGGATGTCTTAACTGCCTTTGGTGTAGTTCAGCGATGTCTGTGTTTATCGGTAGTTCTGGGTTTTGTTGGCATTTTTGAACTAGAGTGTTGAGTGCGGCTAGTCGTCTTGTTGCTGGTGGAGCGATGTTGCTTAAAATTGGAAGCCATTGGGTTGGTGTGTGCTTTATAGTTCCCGTTATGTGCCTCATTGTTTGGCTTAACTGGGTATCTATGACTTTTGTGTGATGACTGTTTAGCCAGATAGGAGCGGAATATTTTGCAGTAGGATATACTAAGGACAGCGGGCTCGTTCTTATTACCTCTGCATTCGACCTCCATGATGTATTTGCTAACTTATGGATAATATTGTTGCGAGTCTTAGTTTTTGCCGAAGTGTTTTCCAAATGCTTTTTGAATGTTTTGAATCACTAGTGCATATATTTTATGCAAATATCTGCAGATTTTGCATATTTCAAAACATTTTTTCATTTACATTTTTTCCTACTTTCCTAAACGTTATCCCTAGTATCTTGTATCTCTCTCTCTCTGCAACCTTGCTTTCTGATGATGGTAGGCTGATTCTTCTGAAGTTTTGAGGGAATGTTCTATTTTCCTACTTTCTGAAACATTATTATTTGTGCTTCTTTCGATTTCATAGGAAATCTTCTTAGTTTAAGCGTCGCATAATTTGTGTGATGTGTGAATACTTTTAGGTATTTCATTATTCTTTAGATCTCTTCGGGTGAGATATGAGTTTTTCCTATTTCTCCTGACTTTCTTGACAATCTTTTGTGGCTACTTTCTACTTCTATGAAATCTATATCTTAATACTGATGGTACGTTAGCCTGAATTGTCTTTTTAGGGAATTTTTCATCGCTTCTGCTATATTTTTAAAATGATGGTGAGTAGGAATTGCAAGAGTCAAAATTGTTTTGGTGTTGATCACGTTCAACACATATCAAAGATTTAAACAGTAGACTCATTTATTTTTTTATATTTTATATATTGAACGACTGAAAGAGTTCAACAATTTAAATACTTGAGAGAAATTGTGAATGGCAAAAATAAGAGAAGTGCAGAAGTAACGGAGCGAATAATAGCAGGCAACAAAACATACTGGAGATACCATAGGCTAATAAAGAACAAGAACTTAACCAGAAATACAAAATGGAAAATAAAACAGAATTGCAATCAGACCAGTAGTTATATACGCAGCTGAGACAACGTTTCTTACAGATAAAGATGAAGAAAGATCAGGAATATTCTAAAGGAAAATCCTCAGAAGAATTATAGGTCCGATAAGAGTGGAAAATGCGCAGGAATGAAAAAGAATGAACTATGAAGTAATAGATATAATGAAGGGAGGAGATATAGTTAGATTTATTAAAGCGCAGAGACTGATATGACTGGGACGTATAGAGAGAAGGAAAAACGACCTATTGATTAAGAAGGTCACCAGATGGAAGTCAGAAACTGAAAGATCAAGGGGAAGCTGTAGAGGGAGATGGGAGGATTAGTTCATGAGAGATATCAAAATCCTGAAAGTGAGAAACTGGGGGACCTGTGCAAAGATCGAAATAAGTGAAAGAAAATTGTAACGAAAGCGAAATACAACAAACTTTAACAGTACACAAGAAGAATGTGGAGTGATTCACTGCAATAAGCGAATCAAAGAGCCCTAAGTAAGAGCGGCAAACATTTTCATCAGGAATGAAAGGCTTTGATGATGATTGAATGACTGTATTTTCATCAGTACATTACATGTCGAAGTATGAAGAAGAGTAGAAATTGGTCGGGCTAGTCGTACAGAATTTGTAACATTCTCACTTCTATTAAACAAATAAAAAATTTATCTTCCTGTTTAATTCAACTACATCTTTGTGCACTATGACTTCATATTATATAACATCAAGAACAGGTGTTAATAATGATTGACAAAACTCACGAAGTAAAAGTACCTACAACAATGTTATTTAAATTCGCTAGACTGACGCAACTTATTTGATTTACAAAAGAGGTAACAACAGAAGATTTGACCAATGACCTACACAAAAAAATTCTTTGAGACTTTGGTCGTCAGCGTTTCATTTGCATGACGGTTTAGAAACAATAATGAAAAGAGAAATTACATCTTCCTAAACGAGCATATTTTTTAAATAAACATCAATAATATTTACGGATAATCGAAAAAATACTTTTAATGACATGACTTTCATTTTATATAATTACAATAGTTAAATTATTGACGTTTTTGCTATAGATAAAGATAAAAAGGGAAAAACAAACCCAGACAATGTGACTGTGCTCATCAACGACTTACAGAAAAAACAATTGTTCCTAGATTTCTATTGGTCCGTAGAAGGAAATCAAAATTTCCTTCTAATGGGAAGAGAGGTGGGAACTAATATATTTTCGTGGAGACTTTTTAACTGTTACACAATTCTTAAAATAGTCGGGGAATGTCTTCATGTGTGTCGGAGTATGTGTTCGTTGTATGTCGTCTTCTGATTATATCTGTCTCACTACTTCTGTACATTAAATAAAAGGAAACGTTAGTTTGTTCTGGTTCTTCTGGTTTTCTGTCGGGGCTTCTACTGGTTTATCTTTTCTACGAATTTCATCATTATTTCCATAAATATGATCATGTGTAAGTGTCTGTGTGTGATCTATTGCTTAATTCATATGGCGTGCTATCTCGCGCTATCGTTTCGGGTTTTGATTCATATCGCATTTTTCATCAGTATCTGTAGTTGGCCTGGTAGGGTCTTTTAAAGTTACAGGACAGTATTGTATTTTTCTGTCGGCCTATTCAAGTTTTCATTGGTCACTTTCCAGTATTTTAGTGTGTTCGTCTTTCTTATGACCTCCTTTTTTTCTCTAGTCACCTGTACAATAAATATAGGAAGCGGTCCTTTGTCGTGTCTTGACTTTATTTTTTTAATGCTAATTGGGTGGATGTTCAGCTCTTAGATTTCCCTCTTTATTTCTTCGGAATCTTTATTTATGGGCAGTCCTTTTGTGACTGCCTTGTATAGTTGGTTTTTTCGTTGTCTACTCATATTCATTGTCATCCAGCGCTTCTGTTATCTTCTTTTTCTCGTCGCTAGGAGCAGCAGTCATATTGACTTCCACCTTAACTCCCTTGGTCACATTTCCTTCAGCTATAATGTTGTTTGTTGTGACAATGTCCACGACTTTCTTCTATGCGTTTTAAAATCGTGATTCGCTGTGATTTAGTTATCCATTTCCATGGGGGACATAGCCGTGGATCTTTCGGATATTAAAACACAGGGATTGAATGGAATGTCTTTGGTGTTTCGGGGAACTTACCGTAGTCTGTGTCGTTTTGCTTGCCGTATTGGCAATTGTCTGCATTTTTTATCTTGCTTCGTCTTTTGGTTGATTTTGTTGTTTACATTTGCCATTCGCTTGTTTTTCTCTTTTTGATGTCTTCCATTGTTCAGGTATTTTTCTGCTCACACTATTTGAGTTAGAATTTTCTTACAGTTCATAATATTTCCTACATTACATATATATTTGTAGTGTGGCACTTTTATTTATGGTTGTCTGCTGCTTGCGTGATGCGTGTTATCCACGCGACTCTTGATCGCTTCTTTCTACAATATCAGGAAATCAGTGAACGTTTTTCCAGCGGAATATAAGAATTAATAAGTGAAGAAGACATATAAGCGATCCTCTCTTAAATCCTGACCCCCCGGGGGGAGTGTAGTGGTCGACGTGATGTCGTGTATTGTCCATCTCCAGAGATCTCTGTCTCTGGTCATTTCTTTTAATTCATGCATAGGTCTTTGGCATATTCCTGTAATTTGATCTATGCATCTTGTTGGGGATCTTCCTCGTGATCTTCGGCCTTCTACCTTTCCTTGTATTATGAGTCTTTCCATGTTTTCTGTGTTTGCTCTCATAACATGCCCAA